TTTTTTAAAAAATTAATTTGTTACATGAATAGAGTGTCTCTCACAAAAATATACGAAAGATGTTATAATTGTAAAATGAAATTTATTCACATACACACAAAACAAATTCAAGGCAATATTATGATATATTTTGGTGCCGTTGGTAGTCTAGTGTTTAGAGCATCAGACTCCAGACCGGAGGGCCTGACCAGGGTTTGGTGCCCGATGCCAACAAATACCCTCCAAGTACACACGGAGTACGGGGTCGTTAAATCAGTGAGTCCGAAAGTCGTCTCTTGTGGGTTGTCGTAGCAGAAACCACATTTACGGGGAGCTGGAGAACATTTCCCTCCCTTCCAGCTCATGCCTAAATTGTGCAGGTGTCGCCATCTATCGTGTAGAAGTTCAACCTGTCTCAGGCTCTAGCAACTTTCTTTCCTTCCCTTCGGGAAGGACACAACAACATTATATGTCTTTGTGTTCCTTATCGGTTACACGATGAGTACTAAGACATCAGAAATATCGATTATTTTTTAAACACCCTTGTATTTACTTTTACTTAGATTTTGTATAGCAAGTGTGTAAGTCTTAGAAATTCCACTTAATTTTAAATCATATTTATTAAATACACTCCATAATTTAACTGGAAATACACCTATAATGAGTTATCCAAATAGGAGGAAATTGTGTATGCACATATCCTGTGACAGAGTATAAAAATGACATACATTTGACCATTAATGAAAAACTAGCTGAAGCTCCAGCAAATTTCAGCAGATCATAAAACAGAAGATTCCCACGCTATAGCATAACTTCCCACACGGACCGCACCAATGCCTCGCACACAGATTTGCTTTACAACCTTATTTATCACAGCACAACAGTACGCTGTCGAGATTCTACGCACCATAGTGTTACTCTTCCTTTCATGGATCCCTAGGCAAAACGTCAACAGTATAATGTTGTTCCTCACAATTTCTTGCTTCTCCAGCAATTTTCTGGCCACCGGTGTCACCAGATCTCTTCCCAAAAAAGCGTATTTGGACTAGAATGAGCAGACGTCTCCATTTTTGCATGGATCACGCCGAACTAACTTTTCAATTTGAGCAAATATGGTAATCAGTTATGCAGGAGGACATTCCTCAACTCTTCATGCCATCATCAACTTGATAATTGTTTACATTACACTCAGAGGTGGGTTAACGTGGATATTTCGTATGCTCAAAGTAAAACATTCTATTACTATGATATTTCTAGATATTCGTTTTCAATACGCGTGCATCATATTTACTGATTTTTGTTCCATTCGGATAAACCCTCTTAGAGAGAGAGAGAGAGAGAGAGTACATCATGGCTTACGTTTTATACAACTATCAAAAACTACGAAAAATATAATAAGGATTCCCCGTAAAAAAAATTTTAACAATTTTTTGGTATTGTAAATGATGTTTTGATATCAATCAATCTAATTTTCAGTGAAAATTCAGAGTTTTTGTTTTAAGTATGATCTTTTAAACATTTTTGCATGAAAAAGTATAAATAGTACTTTAAATAACATTTAAATAACGTGAGAGACACAATAAATTATTTTTTTTAATGAAATTTCAAACATACAACGAAATGTGTTCATTTAAACGTACTTATATTGGATAAGTTTGAACAAGGAATTTTTTTAAAGGAATTTTTCATATATATATTAGTACAGAAAATGAAAATATTCATCACTACCTTAATTAGTATATATAAAATTTACTTGTGTTGCCTTTTAGATTACAGGTTTACTTCAGTTATTATTTTGTAAAACGTGTGCAATAAAAGGAAAAATATCTGAGTACTTTCCCTAAATTTACTTTCATGCAACTTTTACCTTACAAAATTACTTTTACAAGCTCTTTTAATATCAAAGAATATAGGCTAGCATTTACACAAATAATTATGGTAATAATCTTCCGATTCTGTAATTATTTTTTAAAAATTTGCAATTTTTCATTCAACACTTTTCAATTTTAAGAATTAGACAGCTTCTCTCAAACACAGAGTCTTCCAACCGAATAATCTTTGATACGGAAGAACAAAATTGGATATTGCTTTTTCCTCTTGAGTTAAAGCCTGTGAAAGACAATCTTTGAAATGTGACCTTCCCACCATTGTAGAGTTCGACCTTGGCCCTTGTCAAGCCCCTGTAACTTTTGGTCCAAGGATTCCAATTATTAGTAATGAGATTATGAGAGTGAAAGGTTAAGGACTTCCGTTGTATTGGATGCTTGAATGTTCGATAATCGAATCGTTAACAGCGTTTGGTGAAGATGCACGTATTGTACTTCATGAAAGGAATTGATGAATTTGTAACTTTTTATCATTTGTCGAAAGCTGTTCCTTTGATGTATTTTTTTTCGTAAGAGAAGTTTGTGAAACACATAAACGTATTCCTTTGTTTTAACCCTTAACTTTGCTCTGTTGCATTTCTGCAACATATGATTTATTTTAATTTAACAGACTCAATATTTTTTTTAATTGCCTACAAATCACTTATCTGAGAAAAAAAAAAGATTTCTGCAACGAAATACATGCGAATTTTGTCACTAGATGGAACTACATTTTTTTCCAGAAATCACAACAATTATAAAAATCTCTGATGCATCAAGAACTGTGTTTTTGCTATAACAATAATCCATTATATTTTATGCTTCCTCTTATTTATTGACGAAATAATTTACCAGGTAAGGAATTTAAACATTTTATGATGATAATAAAATCCTCGTATAAAAAAAAGTTTTGTAATTTACAGCACTACTGCGCAATGTTGCACTTCTGCAACAAACAAAAAAATGACTGAAATTCAATTTAAAACTGCTTAAATTTTTTTTCATGTTTTTCCCGTTTATTATTACTTGAGATCTAGCTGATATAATTTTTTAATAGAAATTTAAAAAATTTAGAAGTTAAGGGTTAAGGGGAAAAAATGGAAACGTTAAATGTGTTTTAGCTTCTCCTATTTTAAGGGTGTTCAACTTTTCACATGCTCGAGGGCCAAACTAATAAACTTACAAAGATCCACGGGCTACATCAATTAATTCACAGTGATCCACGGGCCACACGACTGTCGAAATGATATTGTATTAAAAAAAGCGTGGTTTGTTTCACAAGACTTCAACCGATTCTTAGGAATAGTTTTTACAGATCTGTATGTATGTATATCGGTTTCAAAAAATAAATGTAAGTCAAATCAAAATATTTTGTAAACCTGTTAAAGATAAGAATCCACCTTTTTCCCGAAAATTTCTGAGATTTTATGCATAGTCAAATTTTTTTTTTTATATTTAAAATTATTTAAAATATAGTAAAATTTTTGAAAAAATTCGTCATTTTCGGAAAGTTTTATCTCAAATAGGTATCAAACACGTTAGTGAAATGTTTTAAACATCAAGAATAACAGAAAAAATAGCGTTTTTTTTAAGACAAAAAGCAGACACGGCTATTTTTTTTTAAAAAATGACTGAAATTCAAATGAAGGACCATTAAATGTCTTCAGCGGGCCATTCGTAGCCAGCGGGCTTCTGGTTGAATACACTTATTCTATTTCATGCTGATGAACTTCTTATTTTTCATTTATAATAATCATGTATGATAAAATAGGAAGGAGAGATTAATTTTTAAAAAAAAAATATTGAAATCAGAGAGTTTTTCAGATGGTATTTTTAGATGAGAGTTATATTAACGTTGCACTAGAGTTATTGGTGACGGACCTCGTAATTTAGATCCTTAGTCAAGTTGTTGCAACCCAGTGGTCGTTGGTGAAGTTTGGGATATGATTATCCATTGTAATAAAAATAACTAAGTTTATTGATTTATAAATTTACTATCAAGCAATGTTATAAGCCGAAGAAGCAGTCAAATTTAATTCTGATCCTAAATTTCTAAAGTAATTATGCACTTAACAGCAAGTGATCCGGGGTAACTGCGGTATCGGAACATGGCTGGTTTTGTCACGAGTTCAAGCAAAGTACCAATAAAGACCCACCGTGTAGGGCAGCAATGCACGCTAAAATGTCGAGAGCTGAAACATCCTCCCGTTGATGTGGTGTGGTAGTTAAGTGAGGGGTTGCCAGCTCAGATGTCGTCCACGTCACTTGACCATGGTTCAAAATTACGTGGTCCGTCGCCAAAAGCCCTCATGCAGCTGAACAGTGCGACGTTAATATTCACTCACTCACTCACTTACTCCGGGGTAACTGCACACTTCAGGACTTGCCCGGGTTAACTGGATATCCTGGACTAAAGATTCTTTTCAAGAAATCCAAAGACTTCCGAGAGTCATTTCGCGGATCTCCCTCTAATAGCAGCCTAACTAATAACTTTAACACTCGTTTTGCTAGCGCTTAAATAGCACTCAAATTAGTATAAAATCAAATTATCTCCATGGAAGGCGGTTTTAAAATCAAACAACAGTGAAAGAAGTCATTTTTCTTAAAGATAATTAGTAAAAGGGTGCGAAGCGGACCCTTTGAGGACCCCAAAAGTGATGAGGACGACGAGACAGCATCGAATCTCCTAGCTTATCTTAGGTCAGAAGGTTCTTCTACACTGTGGGTCTTGAAAAGCACTGGGGTTCCATTCCGCCAGCAACGATGTTGCGATCACGACCAGTCGAATACCGCGGCTTGTCTTTTAACAATAAAGTATTTAATACTGTTGTTGCAAATGCCCCTGTCTGAAGGTATTAGATTGAGGCCTACAAAATTTATCAAGGTAGAGGACTAGATGTACGCCTGTCGTTAGCTGTAGCTTTGAGCACCACTTAGGGGCCAGTACGTTTTGGGTCGGTTCCATCCAAATTTTAAGGGAGAGCACCCTAGGGATGGTCAGGTGCTTCCCTTTCTTACCCTTCTGCCAACCTCAGGAGAGGACTTGCGGTTCGACGGCTATTTAGAGTCCATTCATTAAATTTAATTAATGAATAAATAGTAACAAACAAAAGTAATAATGCAACATCATATATAAAAAGGAAAATCGCTCGTTGTGTCCCTGCAGCGCAATGGATTACGCGTTGAACTTCGCATCCAAAGGCCCTGGGTTTGAGTCCCAAATGGGACGGCCGAATTTCTGAGACTGTTGTTCTTTCTTAATACGCTATTTTATTGGAATAATTAAACTTATTGAATGAATAAATAATAACAAACAAAAATAGTTCAATATCCTATATAAAAACTAAAATGGAAAATTGCTTTCTATTTTGTCTCTTAATGTCATTCTGTTATATGTATACACAAGTTTATATTAATTGCAATTATTTAATTAAAATAACAAAAATAAAATTTTTCTTTGTTGACTTAAGTAGGAACTGACTTAAAATTTTTTTTGTACATACTACTTGTTTTATTTTAAATAGAACATCGCAATATTTCAGAATTATTTTTATCACATATTTCACACACACACACACATTTATGTGATTAAAATATATATCTAATTAAAGGATTACTTTTGTCTCCCTATTGTAACTTCTACATATTAGATTTATAATTAAAAAAAACTTTATTATATAAAAACTTTGAAAATACATTTCTTTACAGATAGAAATTGACATAAGCTTGAGCTTTCACACATAAAACAAAACCAAAAACTATCCTTGGAAAAATCAAATTGCCCCGAAAGAAAATAACAGCAATCTAATCTTATTCTCTTATACGAACAAATTATTTTTTCTGTTAATATTAAATAAAATTCCAAAAGTTTAATTATTTAGACAATATTTTACCATATTATTATCTTGACTGTCTTGATTAAAAGGAACATTAATAGTGTCATGGATTAAAATGCTTATAAAAAAGCTGAAGACAAACTTTAATTTCCCATTGAGCAACAAACATAATGGCAGCTACAATGTAGAAAGAATTGCAAGTTTAAATTAGAAAGAATGAATCTTGACATCATTATTTAATATTAAGCCTTTTAAAGAAAAAAAAGAAGGAATTAGGTTAAATCAGTAAGCATCTATCTCAGTCTTGAATTACACAATTAAATGATGAAAATAATTGTCTTTCCAGCATAGGTTGTGAGTCAATTAAGCCTCTGATTAAAAATACTTTTCAGTCTTCGTATTAAAATTTCTGTGATGTCAAATCTATATCCTTTGTATTTCTGAGGTTATAGTTTTTCTCATTATCTGCTTGTGGAAAAATTAAGGAATTAGTTCATACTTGCATTACTATATAAAGAGAGCTTCATTTATTAGAACTTTTCCTTTTGTGAGAGATAAAATTAATTACCGTATGAACATAGATCTTAAAGTATTTTAACTTTTGATCCACTACATGAATTAGATTAAAGCATATTAAAGAGCATATACAATGCAATCAACAGTATAACAGATGTTTTTCTTGAACAGAATTAAGTACACTATTTCAGGTTAAAACAATTTAAGGGTAATAAGGAAAATCCTAATAGTTTTCATCATGTTGGAACGGATAAACCTATTTTTCCCCCTCCCCCATTTATTCTCCCCCCCAGCTTGTCAAGCAAAAAATTATTGTCAAAAATTAACACTTATCTTGCTAATTTGCACGGATTATAATTAATTCCTTAACGATCGATTAAAAGTTATGTGATTCGCGCGCTAATGCTTTCGTTTTCCACGCAGACTGGAAAGGAATACATAAGCAAATCCTCTGAAATAAGTAAATCTTTCGTAAACACTGCCAAGGTTCTGTTTTTGTATTCTAAAGCCTTCGGAATAATTTTATGGAAAGCCGTGGACAGAAAAGATCGTACTTTGGAAAGACGTATATATACGTTAGGAGCAATTAACGCTTTGGCTGAGCAAGTCGTTTATGTACCCCTGTGGTTCTTAAGAGGCTAAAGTCATATTGTATCTCAGCGTCAAAGTATAGTTTTTTTTTTTAATTCAATTCATCGTTATTGTATGGAGGTGGCTCGATGAAAATATTGATTGAATATTGAAAGTTTGAAAAGCAATGATTAAATGCAAAATCCCCATTTTTACGTGATGTGGAAGTTAAGACAGAAAGGTGTTGGATCAGGTGTTATCTTCGTCAGGGTTTAAAAGTAGAGGTCTACCATTAATGCTTCAGAATGGGGCGTTAATGAACAATCAATAAAATTCTCATTTTATAAAAAGATATAAACGCAAACAAAACTCCAACTTTTTTTTTCTTTCTTTTTTTTAATTTACGCAGAGTATTAAAATTAATTTATACTAAGATGAAGTACATTGTTTTAATTAGTTTCAAATGAACCGTTGCTTTTAAATATTTTAATACCTAGTTAAACATCGTTATACGCTTCCAAAATGAAGTTCCGGTAAAGTGGTATAAAATATTCAGTTTCATTTTACGACAAAGTTTCAGGCAGTGACTTTCGAACATCGGAACTTGTAAACATATTATCGTCCTTGATGGCACGGGTTTCTTATTTTTCACGACGAAATCAGGTTTCATTACCTTGAATCACGGTAAAGTATCGTTAAGTTTAGGAAACAAATTTTTATTGTTTTTTTCATAGCTTCTCTTATCTTTATTGACATAATGTTCATTTTTCATAATATTTTCTAAGGATCATTAACCTATTTTTGCTACTGATGAACTGAAATTGCCAACGGTTTTTATTTGTCACATACAGCAGGTAATATTTCCAATAAAAATATTCAATGATTTTCTTAGAATATTCGATTTATAACAATACATTTTAGTTCAAATGTTTCATTTACGTTCTGAATATGAATTCGAATTTAGGAATACCGGCGCAAGTTTGAAAAACTCCTGTTACAAATACAAATAACATTAACAATTTATAAATATTCGGTTGTTTTTCTTTTTATATCTAGGAAAAACTCTCTAAATGATTGAAGGAGATAATAACCCCTCCCCCCCAAAAAAAAAATCAAAATTTCTACTTAAATGTTTTTTGTCACACTGGCAAACTTTTCCTGATTAAAATAGTATATTCATTATTTTAATACAAATAAATATTTGGTTAAATTATATCTATACAACTGCAGTACGTTCTATTACAATTTAATCATAAAATTATTTATCAATACTTTCTAAATTTGATGCTTTTTGTAGCAATATAGATTTTTTTTCAATGTATTTACTTTACTTACCCCAAATTCTAGTAAATTTGAATTTTAAAAAATTTTACATTCATTCATAGCTTTATTTTAAAGAATTTTCGACGAATACAAACATTATGGTTATCGCGCATTTTTATGAAACCTAATCCCTAAAACCCCTAGTTCTTAATTTACTATAAGCAAGAATCTGTGATTAAAAAACGGCACTTGATTCTTAATTATTATAATAATAATTATTCTACTTTAAGCAGAACTATATTCTTATTGTTCTACTATTCAGTTCTTAAATTTTCGTTTTTGTGCTAATTATTATATTACTATGCAAAAAACGCCAAGTAATTCTTTCAAAAATTCGAAAATCCATTTTGAGACAAGAACTTGGATTTTAAATAACAAACATAACAGAGTTTTTCAAAAACATTCACGTCTATATTATATTAAGTCTACATCAAATTTTCTATTTCAGCAAAGTGCCCTTAAACTTGTAATAGCAGTCAAGAAGATGAGATAATACATATATTTCCTTTGAGAAGATAAAAAGTATCTTCGATGAAACTTGATATCTTAATCAATCTATGATAATAAATGTTTTATTCTCACAAAAAAGATCTACTTAAGTGCTTAAATAATTGGCAATTCTTTTAAAGAATACAATGTTCCAATATTCCGAAAGTGAAATATTTATTTTTGTATATATATATATATATGTATATATATATATATATATATATATATATATATAATGTCAATTAACTATTAAAGGAAAATTATAGTTTAGATATTTATTATTCATATGCTGCAGCTTCAAAAGGTAGATCCACACTAGTTCCAAGAGGTTTCTTGTCGTGTTACTCATTTGTCATAATTTAATATTGGTGTGGGCAAACAGCGGCATACATATATATATATATATATATTATAGTATTATAGTATGTATATATATTATAGTATTATAGAATATATATATATATTATAGTATAGTATTATAGTATATATATATTATAGTATAGTATTATAGTATATATATATATATTATAGTATTATAGAATATATATATATTATAGTATAGTATTATAGTATATATATATATATATATATATCTTGTACAAATTTTTAATAGTTAATAAAATACTTTCTATTCATCCATTCAGGTTCAAATAAATTTTTTAAAACTTTTAGTGATTGACACTTTATGTTAATACAAGTTTTTCAAATATTAATTCATCAATTGGGTTTAATTAATGAATAAATAGTAACAAACAAAAATAGTAGCCCAACACCATATATAAAAAGGAAGAATGCTCGTTATGTCCCTGTAGCGCAATGGATAGCTCGTTGGACTTCTAATCCATGAGTTCGAATGACATGGGTTCGAATCCCTCTTGGGATGTCCTAGTTTCTGAGAATGTGATTTCTTTTTCTATACTATTTTAAAGGAATAATTAAATTTAATTAATGCATAAATAGTAACAAACCCAACACCATATATAGAACGGAAAATGGAAAATTGCGAGGAAAATAGTTTGCTATTTCGCCACAATATTGTGATTCTGTCATATGTATATAAATACTTATATTAAGTTACGAAAGTTACGAATACTGAAATAACAAAAACAAATAAGTAACAAATACAAAAATGCATTACGAAATAAAATAATTGCGAAACAAAACCAATACAATGAAGTTGCAAATATGGAGAAATTAAAAATTTACAAAATCACAAACCAATGAAGGTACAAAATTAAGTGAACGAAGCTATACTTGAACAAGTTGAAAAAAATTAAGAGGCCAGATGATTTGATGAGAATGCAGTTTGACTTTCAGGCCTTTTTTCTGTCTTTCTTAAATTTTGAACAGAAAAGGATAAAATGCTCTACACTTTGCTGCCCCCTAACGGTACAGTCAGAAAGTTCGAAAGGACACAGGTTAAATTTATTATGGTACACTTTAAAATTACCATGATCGCGTTAAAGATTTGTTTGATTTTATAGTTTGCAAAAAG